AAACAGTGTATACATACTTTTGGGACACTCTGTATAATCATGAGGACATAAATGGAGAGGAGACCACTGAGCACCCAGGGAGTGCCAGCTCATCTGAAGCTGTAACGCCGCGGCAGCTGTCACGACGTCTGACACAGTCTGCGTCTGACACTCTTTTCGTAACAAATCCTCAGATTTTCCTCCATTTACGCATGATATTGAATTCATTTCAGAAATTCGATTTATTCCCTAGTGGAAACAGCTCAAATACAGTTGTTGAACTCGCATTCAGCTTTTGATGTTGGTCCAATTTTCACAACATATAGTTCAGTCTGAATTTCCATGAGTTCGACTGATTTGAAATGAACTGAATGAATATTCAAAAATCAATCGGGTTCGATTTTGGTGTGAACTGCGCACTTTGCTCATAGTTTCGATGTTTTGTCCAAATTTCCATCATTAATTTCAAACAAAAGGAGACCTGCTAGTCGAACTAAAGACTACTTCCTCTTGACAATGCTGTTTCGCTTTTTCATCAAAGGATGATTTCAGCTTCGTAGAATCATCTTGAAGGCTTTTGTTATTTTAGTGAGTGAAACTCCAAAAAACCAGCATTTCTCGGTCATCTTCCGATGAAGGTTACAGGGGGTGGAGCTTAGATTGTCGCTGTGTTCTAGCGAAAAACTGGAGACAGTGGAAATGAATGTATCCTACATGCATGAGTCGAGGTAATTAGGCTCCAGTTTCTAAGTTCCGTTCTCCGTTTTATAAGGCAGCATGCAGCGCGCTCAGACATGCTCTGTTTTCGTGTTTGTGTAAGCAACCTACCATATCAAATCTCGAGATGCTGTTCTGCCGAGACAATGCCTTTGATTTGAGGTAGACTCCTAATACCCACGAAAAACAGAGTTTTGTGATTTTCACGAAAAGACAGCACGGAAAAAAGTCATGATCCGAGAACAAATATGTAAACTTCATATACAGTACGCTCACATGGCACCATCAAAGGGGAGGTACAACAACGCCGTTCTCTCTTCTTTCCAAGTACCGCCTCCTGAACTCCTCAATCTGCTCAGGTCCATTCCTCTGTTTCAATATTTCTTTCAACCGAATCAAACGTTGCACTTTGTCGTCTTTCTTGGGTTCCAGTTTCTTCTTCAAAGACTAAAGCAAATCAACTTTCGAATATTACCAACACTTCTTGAGGGGCAGACTTCTGTAAACTTACTTCTTTCTCCTTCTTTTCCTTGCTATCGCCATTTTCTCGAGTTCGGTTACTTCTGTGTTCACCTCGATGTCGATCACCGTCCCTGCCTCTCTTTCTAGGATCATGGCCCTCATCATCTGACGAAGGAGGAGTCGGAGTGAACTGCCGCTCCCTGAGTTTCTCCGATTTCGTTTGAGCTTTGACAACCTAAAACAATCAAATTTAGCCATAGCAATGAATTTAAAAGTTTTTTGTTGATTTTTAAAAGTGCTTTCTCGCGTTTCCCTAAGAAGTTTTGGCCCAACTTTCGGAACTGCTCTACCTAGAAGCCTCATAAACAAAGCAAATTTTTGCGATATTCATTCCTTCAAATGGACATAACCAAAACGAACCCATGAGAAGTCTAATATTGAAATGAAGAACCATTAAGTGCAAATGCGTAGTTCGTGAAAAAGAGCTCTAAAAAGTGCCACTTTCGCATTATAGTCATGAAGAGTAGATCAAAATTAGAAAGGAAACCACCATCAAAATTTTCTCCAGAAAGCGTCTAGGTTGAGCAGGCCAGATCCAACAACCCTACGACGCAAAAGAAAAGGAGCATCAATTATCGAACTGCTTGAGATTTTTGAATTATTCACTCGAGGTTTTAGCTAGTTGAAAAAAACATGTAGGTCGTTGTCAAACAGAATGAGATATTTTATCACAACGCAATATTTCCTACTTGGCTCCGAGCATAAAAATCTCTTTGCTGGACTGAAACAATCGTAAAAAACCCACCCTATTCAATCCCGGCTTCAGTTCGCCAGGGAAATTCTTCTTTGGTGGCTCGAATTTGGGTTGCGTGTCATCCTCATCGTCAGAGTAGATCGATTTCTTTTCCTTCACAGTTTTTTCTCTGACAGTAACAGTAGTTTTTTCAACAACAGAAGTAGCTGCTTCTTCTTCGTCGCTCGACTGTGAACTGCCTCTTCTAAATACCATAATAATCACAGACTGAGAAAAAAGGATGAGCTTTTGCAACGAACCTTTGACGAATATTACGTGCTTTCTTCTTGGTTGTGACTATCGCTGAAGCACTACCATCCTGGCCATGTAATTCGCCTTTTTGCATCATGCTCTCCTCCCCTCTGGCGAGTTCGTTCAAAAGAGTACGTCCAAAACCAGCTTGCCAAGCTTTCTGATGTTCCACCGATGTGAGCTCTAGAATTGTGTGAATAAAGAAGCGCATCATTTGCACTTTAAGAAATGTACAGAGCACGCAAACGTGGGAAGAAGAGCAAAAGAGAAATTAGAAATCGTGTATGCTAGGCATACCATTGAATCTCTTCTCGTACTCCTCTTCCTCTCGGAATTTTTGCACCTCCTCCATCTGTTTCCTGTAGGCTCCCGTTACAAACACCTAAAGACAGATATGAACGAGAGCCATGGCCCAAGGCAGAAACCCACCTCTTTGTCAGCAAACTGGCCACCTTCTTCTACTCTTTCCTTTTGCTGCTGCCGCTCTTCACGGCTTTGCTGCTCTAATTCACGTCTTTTATGGGCTTTGATGATATCCAAAGCATATTTGGATTTCCTTTCCTTGTCAGCCTTTTTTCTTTCTGCTATCTTAATAAACAGTTTTCATCGAAAAAATATAAAACCGATGACTTAATGAAAAATTACTCACTTTTTCATCGCGAAGTGCTTGTATTTGGTCGTAGCTGGCATCATAATCGAAAATTGTGGGATCTTCAGCTAGTGCCATCTCTTGTAGCCGCTCGGCATGTTTTTGCACTCGGAGAGTAGATGCCGACTGAATCTGATTCGAAACGTCAACCTAAACACTGATATGTCAAAAGGGATTCGAGCAGACCATAATCGTTTACATGGGCTATAAGACCATGCCGGAAAATATTCTTTGATTATCAAGATATGTTTTAACAACCTTCAACAAAATTAAGAAGCTTCGTAATTTTCTGGAGAGAATGCTCCTTCACGCAAAATCTTTATTGCACCACTCTCGATCATAATTTCTTATACGGTCACTGCAATATGGATATCGTATTGATTACCTGGAAAACAAGGGGCAGGAGAATGATTGTCGACTTTCATTTCAGTTTAAGGCAAAATACCAGTGACCGCTCCGAGAATGATCTAGCGGTTCTATTCTACACGCAAATCACGTATTCTCATTATTCCAGACATAGTTTCCAAGAAGATCCTAGAGAATTTTTCACGGTATGCGCATATCCATCAATCAGAACAGCGAGATCATTTGACTGTTATTGTTTCAATGATATGTCAAAGTTCTCGAGTTGCCGTAATATAATTGTCTGAGAAGACGCAACTGTCTACTCTACTGAGGCATTACCAAACAGTTCGTCAGAAAGCACACTTCAGATTTTTATCGCTCATTTTATGGGAGCGTTAGATGTGCTACAATGACCTTGAGAAAACGCTTAATCCTTACCGAAACAAGTGAGCGGGTGCAACAACTGCGCTCATTCAGCATCACTCAATTCA